TACCCCGACTTGTACCTTAGATCAGGCCCCTTTAGGCTGGGATACCCAAGAGATGTACGGGAGAGAAACCCGGGAGGACCATACTCTAGAGATGTATAGGGCCAGGGCAGATACTGGAGAAGAGAGGGTCGATGGGGAGCGTTACGAGTGGGTGGGGGATAGGAACCTGACCTTAGATTTTCACTAGGGTCGGGTTCCCTCAGGAGATCCTCTCCGACCAGGGAACTCAGTTTACCGCTGTGCTTACCAAGCAGCTGTGGAAGGTGTGCGGCATTAAACCGCTGTTTAGCTCACCTTATCACCCACAGACTAACGGTCTCTGCGAGCGATTTAATGGCACCCTCAAACAGATGTTTGAGAGGGTTCAGAGAAGGGCTACTAAACTGGTTCATGGATTGCGGGATAAAACTTACCAGGAAAGGTTAAAGGATCTTAACATGTATAGCTTGGAGGAAAGACGAGACAGGGGGGATATGATAGAAACATTTAAATATATAAAGGGAATCAACACAGTAAAGGAGGAGACTATATTTAAAAGAAGAAAAACTACCACAACAAGAGGACATAGTCTTAAATTAGAGGGACAAAGGTTTAAAAATAATATCAGGAAGTATTACTTTACTGAGAGGGTAGTGGATGCATGGAATAGCCTTCCAGCTGAAGTGGTAGAGGTTAACACAGTAAAGGAGTTTAAGCATGCGTGGGATAGGCATAAGGCTATCCTAACTATAAGATAAGACTAATGAAAGTAACAGGTAGCGCCAGCCCTGCATATACTGCATTGAGGGGTGTGTGAGGGGTGCTGTGTGTGAGAGGGGGTAGCGGTGCTGTCTGGGGTGGAGGGGTAAGGGTGCTGTGTGTGTGGGGGGTAGGGGTGCAGGGTGTGGGGGTAGGGGTGCTGTGTGTGGGCATAGGGGTGCTGTGTGGAGGGTAGGGGTATTCTGATGGGGGGTAGGGGTGTTCTGTTGGGGGTAGGGGTGCTCTGTTGGGGGTAGGGGTGTTCTGTTGGGGGAGTAGGGGTGCTCTGTTGGGGGGTAGGGAGTGACAGGAGGGGGGTAGGGGTGTTCTGTTGGGGGGGTAATGGTGCTCTGTTGGGGGGTTTAAGATACATTAAACACGTTTAAAAGAAACAAAAGCATACTGAATCAGTATTTCCTCCCCCCCCTTCATCTTACCTTTGGTGAAGGGGAGGAGGGGGAACACAGCCATCCCTGGTGGTCCCGTGGTGGTAAGTATGTAGGACAGGAGCCTAAAGCTCTCCTGTCCTCCCGCGCAATGCTGTGTGGAGCGTTGCCATGGTAACACGCAGCAACGCTCCACACAGCTCGCGGGAGGACAGGAGAGCTGTTTCCTAGATGCCTCCCCCTGCTTCCGGTCCTGCCGATAAGAAAGCAGAGTAGGCGCCTGCCGTTTCGGGCAGGCAGGTGCCTACTCTGCAGTGATGCTGAACCTACGGCCACGTGCCCACAGAGAGGGCCCGGTGTGCCACCTGTGGCACGCGTGCCATAGGTTCGCCATCACTGTCCTAGACACTTAGAATTTTACTATTATTTTCTAACCAATATCTCTTTCTCTATCACAAGCACACCTCCTTACAAACATTAACCACACTTCCATTCATTCCTGGGACTATCTAATCATCTGATAAGAACATCTACAACATAACTGGTAATTATGCTGTTTTATTTAATTAATTTAAATTAATTAAAAATGTATTAATAGCAGAATACATGCATGGATAAATCTCGGTAAGATTTCAATAATTGAGAAATCTTAGTTAACTAAAGAATATATAGTTATAAACATTCCATTCTGCAGGTGGAATCAAGAATAATTATATATATGGATGATATTATTATCACATGTTAGCATACCGCTGTTTTTATCTAGATGTATTGATTTGCTCTGAAATAAGATAGTGTATCTTATGTAGAGAACTAAAATTTGTCTTTTTGTACAATCTAGTAGATTATTCTTATTGGATGGTTCCTGGAAATGATTAATGAGCTGGTTTGAATGCTATTTTAATTAAAAATAGCAATAGAATAGTTTATTATATACCTAGGAGGATCTAGCCAGCATTGAAAGAGTTAATCAGGATCTAACTGTGAGACAAGATTTTATGGCTTCTGCTGTGCTGTGTGAAGTTTCTGTGTTCTGTGTCTGTGAGATTGTTTACATATCGTAAATTTGTAAGTCTTGACAGTTGATGCTGTAGCCATTGAATTTGTTTAAAACCATTGCCATTTTGTTGTATACCTATGTTATACTAAATATTCACTGATTATTATCACGCATGTTACATATTATTATTATTTTATTATGATGTCACAATAAATTATATTTTTATAATCAAATTGTTTTTTAATTGTATGGAGTAAAATCCTCTAAATGATGCCGTTCTCTACGATCTAAGAGAATTAAAAAGTGGGTAATTCTCTATATCAATTTTGATGTACCGTAATAAAATTATTAAACTAATTTTT